TCAATAACTCTGTGTGAAGAGTGTTTAAACTTCCACAAAGCCAAAACTAAATACTCTATATGTTTTTGCTATTTACTGGTTTATTGTTCAAAGACATATTAGAGGCAATTTTTATGATACTTTGAATGGATTTGCAGAAGGTGCATCACAGCACTCGGGCAATGAATCGCATTACACTAATGTGCTAAGATTATTCCGCTTTATGCTCAGTGCAGTTATGATACGTAAACGAAACCTTAGACTTCCTTTTCAACTTCGTTACTAATCTAAAGCAAATATAAATAAGACACAATTCAGACCATTCAGACGATTCAGACGATTCAGACAATGCCACGGAGTGTCTTCTGTACAATTTGACCAAATTAAGTCATCATGAAAGAGTTTTTGTGTTTCAGTTTATGAAGGTGCCAAATTAATGACCACAAATTAATCTACATTGTTACATATTTTCCCGTCCTTTGCGCTTGTAGAAACTGGCAAATCTTAAGATTTCGTTCAGGAACTCAAGTCATGCGAAATGCAAAAACAGATCAAATTTTTATTCTGGAAATTTTTTTGTTAAATATTTTTTTTTTCAATTTTTTTTTTTTTATAAACTTTTGTTGTTGAATTCATTTCGAGTTATGTAGAAATTTTAATGTTTAAACGAAATTTGAAATGAAAATTCAACACGAAAAATTTATTTAATAAATGACCAAGCATTAATCACAGTCGCGTTAATTCTCTTTTCTTTGAATACAGAACCCGAATCGTTGATTCTCATCTTCATTAGCAGCACAAAGCCACAAAATCTGTTGAAGTAATTTAGGCTATTTATATTACGGCAAAGAGAAGGATTTTCAAAAAAAAAAAACGCTCGAGTCGAGAATAAAAATTGGTACAAATATCAAGAAGACGAACGAATCGAACGCTGAAAGGGTTACTCGCATTTGATGGGTTCTTACCGTTAGCCCACTGAAATGATCTTACGAGCAGAGAATAATGAGACTTATAACGGCTTAATTTCACATAATAAAGAATTCAGCACTTCAGTATTCCTCCGAAAAGGGCCGGCATTAAGCCATACAAGCATCAAACGAGTAGGCGTTGCAACATTAATTAAAACGAATTTATATTTTAAGGTGCATATAACCTCTGCGATCCAGTACGATTAATATGCAAGAATTACTGTATCACATATAGTATATAATTCCAAATAGAAATCATGTGTGCACAATGTCTTTATTTTGCTTGCCATATAAATGAAGACTTCATACACTAATTCCTCATAATTTAAATAGTAAGATAATAAAGGTTTGAAGGAAAAATTAACTGCGATATCGATTTAACAAATCTAACACTAAATGTTTGGTTTAGTTTTTTCTGCAATTGAGATCTGCATAAACCGATTAACCCATTAAAATGTCTTTAGGAAATATTGCAGCTACGTATGTGTCCCTATCATAAGTTAAAAAACACGTCAAGCAATTAACTCAACTTAAATATTTGAGAATAAAACACATATGACTCTTTCAAGAGAGTATTAAAGAAAGAGAGTAAGAGAGGAAGAGAGTTTTTTAAAGAGAGTATTCACTAATGAAGTTCAACACTGAAGTGGCGAGGTTTCTACGTGTTAATCCCTGTTGATTTCCATTTAGTTCCAAATATCCTCAATCTACCCCTACATACACTAAAATCTCCGCACTCTCACTAAACGATTATCCATCGACTCTGCAATATCTATGAATTTAAATACCACCAGCTCTACAAACATAAGCTAAACTTATGGCATGTCTCTTCGACATATCAATCTATATTGTATCTTAAATATTATTAATTAAACTTTCATTTCAACAATAACTATAATATCAAGAAAAGATAACGGCATTATATCACACAAAGATAAATAAACACTTAAAAGTTGAAGTAAAGGTCCATTGATCTTATTAGAGGTGTTCTTCTTTGTTCTTTCACTTACAAAAAGTATACTGTGCACGTGATGTTACTATAACAAATATGTCGGAGTAGGAAAAGAATTAAAGAACTCCTCATAACTACTAACTATTTCATTAAGAGTAAAGCTTAGTCCAGCGTCTACACTGGCTATACTTCAGCAATTTTTCAGTGACTCAAAGACCTATTTATAAGTCTATAGCACTACGATATTTCCTACAACTATGATTTGTAGGACAGCACAATTGTTTAGTATACAAGACTAGCAAGTTTATGTACTGCAACCCTCAAATTATCGAACTCAACTATACATCATTAAACCGTTCAAATCAAAATTATCTAAAAAACAACCAGTAGTTTCTCAAGGATATATCAATGCTTTTTTTAAAATTTTGCGTTTTGTACATCGAGAGAAAACTCCGAGAATCGAACAATTAGCTAAAGCTGCTTTGATTTCACATCCAATTAATTATGAGTAGAAAATTGGGCATATTAAAACCAGCTTCCAGCGTTCATAAATGCAAGTATCTGACCAATATTAATGCTGAAAATGTCGCCGCGTGATTTTAAGAATGAAGTGTCCAGAAACTCAAACCTAATTCTGAACCATCCCGGACATATAGACACAACATGAGTTCCGGTGTCTACTACTCGAGCAAAGGTAGACATGTACTACAGGAGATTCGACAGAGAGAAAAAATACCCGCAACGACATCTTTATTTAGATCTAACAAAATAACAAAAATCTCTCTTGAAAGATTGCACTGGGTATTAGCTTGATGGATGATAAAGGATGGCTATGTAAGGTTTAAGCTGCTTTTAGTAAACTAAAAGTGTTTGTAAGCAAAATAATTTTAATCGTTATCGATATAAGAATAAATTAGAGCTGGATCCCATTGAAACGGAGCGTTGCAACTAACACTGATATTTTTTTCTGAAAGAGGACTAAAAAGAACATAGTCAGACCCTGAAATGGAAGCCAAAATATCATTCGTTGAGAATTTTCTAAGCTCTGTTGAGCGTTTACATGAGCTTAATATCGATTTTATATACCCTGAAACAATTGGCAGACTTGAGTAAATAGGGTGAGTATTTGTTTAAAAGTACAGTTTCACGTTTTAAGAACTTAAATGCAAATAATTGAATAAAAATTGAAATGATTTATATTCGAACCATTTTAAAAATTATTTTCATTAATTCTAAGCATATACATATTGAATAAATTATTGTTAATGATATTTCACCACATCACGATTTTTATTTAATATGCTAAACTTGTATTAAGAAGCTAAAGTGGTAAATTGCTAAATAGCAACATCATAAGTGCCCAATTTATGATTAGTCTTTTAAAACCATCACCAAAAGATTGCGTGTAAATAAAACAGTTGATGCGATAGTTCAAATTGAATAGCTTAGAAAGTTAACATATTCAATTAGTAAAGTGTTAAATAGAAACGCAGGTACAGGTACTAGTGCCATCAGCAGCTGAATTAAAAAATAATACAGATCGCGTCATTTTATTCTATCATTGAGACAGAAAAAATATTAAAAATTCACATAAATTGACATAGACATACACATTATTGAGTGCACATATAACACTTAAATATTTTAACAATTTAGCATGAATTTAGCATAATAAGTAAAAATTTTAAAGAGCTTAGTTCTAAATATATTTAATGCTAAGCATTCTAGATTTTAATGTATGTTTTTTTTCTTGTTTACTAAAATGGGACTTCAGCTCCTAACTTATTGACTGAAATCAAATCGGCTGAAATTTGTCCATTTTCCATTTCTGCATGATGATTTTAGTATGCACAAGTTTCACACTATTGCTTTTAATGTTTTCACCTACTGGAAATTTAAAAAATAAAGAATTATAATTGTATATTGAAATTTTGTTCCACGTACCATAATCAACGGTCTTGTCAATTATTTCAGAATATACTTCATTATATATAATATTTTATATTACTTAAAATAATTTTAAATAATTTATAATTATTAAATAATATATTATAATATTTGAATAATAAAGACAATAAATGTATTTTTTTGACATGACTACTCCAATAGAATACGTATCGCTTAAAAATTAACATGCAAAGCCAAAACAAAATTCACAAAAATAATCCTACTTTCCTGAAAGTGTTTAACAAATAAGTTTCTCGCACTACAATGACGCCAAATCTTAAAATTGATCTATTGTGAATTATTTTTAGAAGAAAATGAGTGAAGTTATATGTGTATTTTAAAAAAGTAATTTTTTCAATAAAATTTGTGAAAATGACTGACGGGTTTGTAATTGTGAAGAAGTTAATTATTTATTAAGGAATTTTTAATTTCTGTGTATATTCAAAATGCAATACATGAATAAATATATAATGCAATCATTAAAATAAAAACAAAATGTTTAGGCAGTGATGCCAAGTTTCTTCAGCACCAAAAGTTATTCTATTGGAGATTCAAGTTGAAATAGTACACATAATATATATTCAATCAACAAATCCAATAATAGGTAGTAGTAGTAAAACTCAAGTAAATTACAAAATGGAAACGTAACACAAATAAAATGCCAATTTACGTTCTTTAAAAGCAGCTGATTCACACATCAACACAAATTTACTTAAAATAAAATGTACGAGTAAAGTCTGTGTAGCATTTTGAAATACCGACAGGAATATTACGCTCTTTCAGATACACTCACTTACTCAAAGTTACTACGAGTAGCTAGTGGAACAGACCTAATGTCAGTTTAACTTCAGTCAAATAATACACCGAAAATGCAACAATGAGGCTTTAAAGAATGTTTGACGTTTCTTTGTTGATAGTGCAGTTTTGTATTTGTTTCATATCAAATACTTTATATTATTCATAGTTATTATTTTATAATTATTATTATTCCATAATTATTAAACGATACAATAAAATATTTGAATAACAAAGACAATATATATTCAACCAATAGATCCAATAAGTTCAGCCAAACTGGAGTTACATATATAGCCGCAAAATGCAACAATGCGGCTTAAAGAATGTTTGACGTTTCGATGTGGATAGTGCAGTTTTGTTTATGTTGTAAAATTTTTGGCAAATGTCATAACAAATACACACACGTGCGAGAGCAATAAAAAAAATAAAATTTTTTGAAGCAATTTCTAAAGTAATTACTTATAAAACCTGGAAAAATGAGTGACAATGAATTGGAAGATAAAAACAAATTAAATACAGAACCAGTAGATAATGCATGGTCGATGAAAATACCAAAATTTCAACAGCAAGATAATCCTAACGGCCTCGTCGAAGAAAGTTCATTCGCGACGCTTTTTCCAAAATATCGAGAAAAATATTTGAAAGAAGTTTGGCCATTGGTAAAGCAAAGCCTATCGGAACATCAATTGAAAGCTGATTTAGATCTCATTGAAGGTAGTATGATAGTAAAGACAACACGCAAAACTTGGGATCCATATATCATCATCAAGGCACGGGATATGATCAAACTAATGGCGCGCAGTGTGCCGTTCGAGCAAGCACGTCGCGTACTACAGGATGAAGTTGGTTGTGACATAATTAAAATTGGCAATTTAGTGCCCAAAAAAGAAAAATTCGTAAAGCGACGTCAGCGTTTAATTGGTCCAAATGGTGCTACACTCAAATCCATTGAATTGCTCACTGACTGCTACGTCCTTGTACAAGGCAATACCGTTGCAGCACTTGGACCCTATAAGGGACTACAACAAGTGCGCGACATTGTGACCGAAACAATGAATAATGTACATCCAATTTACAATATAAAAGCATTGATGATTAAGCGTGAATTAATGAAGGATCCAAAACTGATGAACGAAGACTGGTCACGGTTTTTGCCTAAATTTAAAAATAAAAACATTAGCAAGCGTAAACAGCCCAAAGTTAAGAAACCTAAAAAAGATTATACACCATTCCCTCCAGCGCAACCCGAGAGTAAAATCGATAAGGAACTTGCGACTGGTGAATATTTCCTTAACAAGGAACAGAAACGTGCACGCAAACAACAAGAACGCGATACAAAACATGCAGATGCAGCCAAAAAGCAAGAAGAAAAGCGCAATAAAGATTTTATACCGCCTGTGGAAGACAATGTGGGCAGCACAACTAAACGTAAATCGACTGGTGGTGACAATGATGCAGCAAACCGCAAAGTGGATATCAAAGCATTGAAAGCTAAAGTAGCCAAGAAGATGAAGAACGTCACATGATTTTAACGAACTTATAATTTTATTTAATAATCTTAACTTAAATGTTTATCAATAAATAGATTTTAAGAGATACAAAGAAGATCTCTGTATTACACATTTTATTCACAAAATCTTATCTGAAGCAATAATAATTTTTTATATTTGTCTGAAGTGATTAAATTTTTTTTTTTGAGAGGAAAAACATTGTAGGTAATAATCCATGTAGAAAGTTAAATGCTTAAAGTGGTCATATATGGGCATTTCTTGAAATAAAAATAACTTCATTCGGTTTTAATGAGAGAAAGAATGACTGAAAAAAATTTAAACTCCAGAAGACCTACATAAAACCATCACTTTACACTGGCTATATGTCAATACACACATGTCACAAAAAAAAATATTTAAGTATAAACACTTTAAAGCTATATATGAATTATAATCCATCGATTTAAGTATTTAACTCGATTTAAAATTATCGATGCATATTATTTAAAAAAACTATTTTATTATCATGTATATATCTTTTTTTATATATATATTATATTTTATATTCATAAATTTAAAATATGCTTTAGTAAACAAATATATTAAATTAAAACACGAAGTGTATAATTAATATCTGAGTTATTCCTTGACACATATTCCATGTCTTAACGAAGAAGTCAAAATTTCGAAACATCGGCAATATTAAATAAAAAATATTAAAAATTACACATTTCATGTTTAATTTAAAGACTATTTTAAATTTATAAATATAAAAAACTCGTCAACTTAGCAAAATCTATAAACTATATTCAAAAATTTAGTCGCTTTTTACAGATAAGGAACCTATGTATATAAACCCATGTTGAATTAATATTATAGTAATTTAATTATAGGATTATAACCCGTTCATTTTTAACAAATAGTAAGATTAGAAAGTACTGAATAATAAAATCAAATTGTCAACTCCCAAATATTCTCAACTATTTTGACGTACATTTTGTTTATTACCTTGTATTATGTACGGTTTAAATTAACGTAAATTTTTTCTTTCAAACATTTAAGATAACATCATCTATGGCCGTGTGCGACGTCGAGTAAATTGATGGTAAATTGAGGGAAATAAAGAATTATGTCGCTATGGCAGCAAATGTTGATATTTATAAGAATTTCGAGTAAGGTAAATTAGATCAGAATTAGTTAAATCAGGTATTACCATTGTGAAAATTTTATGAGATGTTTAATAAATGAATAAATACATTTGAAATCTTTTAATCAAAAATAATAAATAAGTGCAATAAATAAATATTTACATAAGTGCAGTACAAAAAATCACTAGGAAGTATTAATTTATTTTACCTCAATTTACTCGAACTCGCACACACATATATACATATTTCTAATAAATGCAACATGAACTACATTCAGTAATGTAAACAAAAAATAGTTGTTTCAGGCGTTTGAGACTTAAAATTGTGCCAGAATTTAAATAAATCAAAATTGTGCAAGAATTTAAATAAATCTTTTGTTAACAATTAAAAATTTTTACTAATTTTTTTTTGTAAGAAATTAATATTTTTATATATTAAATCATATTCTCCTATATCTCTTGATAATCATCCAACCTTCCATAGTGACAGACGGATAGCAATATATGTAAAAAAGAGAATGCTAAATATAAATACAATATATATAATTGATGAAAAATGAATAATAGTAAATTAAATATGTACATTAATACTATTATTTGTTATTTTTTTAATATAACAATTGTTTAATATAGCAACTCTGTGCTCTGCCAGTTTCGCACATCAGTGTTTTTCTTTTAGCATCCCTGATTTCAGCAACTGCAACACTGTACTATCGACAAATGAAAACAAAGAAGTAGTTTAACTGCAACAGCTGTTACTTATTCGCAACCATAATAAAAGTCATAATAGAAGATAGCGCAATATTTTCCCGTTTTTTCTTATTGTGAAATCGAAACTCGAAGATAAACTAGTTAATAATTGTGACAAGTTCGTTTGGTATAAGAAACAAACAAACTGTGTTTTGAAGTGAAAACAAATATAAAATAATGCTGCCTTCACCAAGTGAATCATCACAAGTGAGCACTAGCACAGAAAGTGAAACGGAGAATGTTTTGTCCGAAGAGCAATTGGGTCCTGCGACTGTAAGTGAATTTTAATCACACATACTCATTAAAAATTTATTTCATTTATATATTTCTTTTAACTTAATTAAAAAACAAAAACTAATTAAAATTTACCGATTTATTTATATTTAATAGATTTTATGCACACACGATGGTGTGTTGCTTAAGAAAACAAGCGCAGAGCATATTGCTGAGTTAAATAGCAGCGGTGCTTTATCACTTGTTGAATATACCAATCCACGTGTATTATTTATCGAATGGCGTCCAAATGAAAATATACTTATTGCTGACGATAGTCAAGATCAAGGTGAATGGGCTTTAGTCGACACAATATCCAGACGTACACGCACCACATCTGAATGTAAAGTTTTCAATACGAAACCCATAGACCTAAACAATCCCGCTAGTAAACCACGTCTTATACGCACAAATTTAGAAGAGCTCAAATCAATAGAAGTTAAGCGTCGTGGTCACTCTGTACGCCTAATGCGTCAAAGTGACGGGACTGTACACACTGAATATTTTTTTCAACATGGCAACGCAGATCTATTTGTGCGCTCAATGCGTCAATTGCATATTATTGATGTTGCACCAAATAGTCGTAATGGAGAGGAGTACATAATTCTGACCACCGAAAAGCAAAAGTTAAAGAAAACATTCGCTGAATTGGATATTGGTGAAATTAAGGCAAGCTCAGCAGGCAATGAGAGCTGGCTGCCGAATAAAGTGGTTGGGTTTCTAATTAATATACCAGACTTTGTGCCACCGCCCTTTCATCGTTCCTCGCCAAAATCACGTCCTGGCTCACTTGATGATGGTGATCGGTCAAAATTATCTACATCCACCGAAAATTATCAAATGATTGGTTTAAGTGGTAGTAACACTGCTAGTTCCGGCAGTCCAAGTGGCAATGTTAGTACTGAAAAATCTCCAGTCGATAGTGAACTGGAAAATGGAAAGGAACAAGATGAAAAAATTGTTAATACGTTACCAGAGCGACAGACTGTCACAAGAAGTAAGATTTGAGTAAATTTTATTATTTTTATAGCTGTGTATTTTAATACCTGTATATATTTTTTCATATGAACTTAAATATATAAGCTTAGTTTTGTATTTATTAGATAATCGTATGGTAAAGAATAGTTGAAGTACCCCCAACATCCTATTCGCAAGATCTACCTTAACTCTAAAGTGAAATGATATTTGTCGCACCGAGAAATGTTATGTGCAAATAAGCATTTAACAAAAAAAATGCTTGTCTTTGTAACCTGTAGAAAGCGAACGACACTTAATTGTGAAATAGTAATAGATATAGATAGTAACCCACCCCACTGAAGTGGCCAGGTTGATCCCTGTTGTTCCAAATATCCTGAATCTACCCCTACATGCACTAAAATCTCCGCACTCTCACTCAATGATTATACATCGACATACTAACCCGTCGTCCGTCGTGTAGTCCCTTCTTATTCTCTACTTTTTAGATCCCCACGGGCTATTACAATACCAACAACACTTGATAGTCCAAAAAGATGAATGACTCTGCAATATCTATGAATTTAAATACCACCAGCACTACAACCATAAGCTAAATATATCTTCTGTTGTTGTAACCTGCTTTGGGAATATAGAATGGTACTTAGTTGAGGATATTGACGAGTGGCTTCAGGACTTAAACCCCACACGGCTGTAATGGCTGCAAGCACAGATATCCGTCTGGAGTATTTATTCAAATAGCTTTTGTTATTGTGGCTCGAAAAGTTGCAATACTACTACTGGTGCTGGTATGCTCCTTGTTAGAATGAGTAAGCTGAGTTTGATAATCTGTGCAGACCCGGTTACTCATTTTTTCTTTTCACTCACCCAATTTGGTGCACAATCATTGAAATTTATTAGCTGCTTGGGAACGTAGACTAAGACCCGTTTCTGAAACTTTTTACAATCTTCTTGTTTAAGCTGCTACTATATATTAAACATTATGTGGTGATCATCTCCAATTCATATAAGTGCTTAATTTTCACTTATTATTGTCTATAGTATGAGTTATTGAATCTCTTGAAAAAATTATTATATTATAACATCAACAACAAAATACAAAATAAATGTGAAATATATATTTTAATATATATGTTTATAATTTAGGTGCTCCTCTTAATGAAACACAATGGCTAGAGTTTCGTACACATGAAGGTCGTATTTCTGATCCAACGCGTATTAAGGAAATTATATTCCGTGGCGGTATAGAGAAAAATCTACGTGCTGAAGTGTGGAAATATCTGTTAAATTATTTCAAATGGGACGATACGGATGTTCAACGCATACAACGACGCAAAGAAAAGTCTATGGAATACTACAGCATGAAGGCCCAATGGCTGTCCATAACGTCCACGCAAGAGATCAATTTTTCTGGCTATCGAGATCGTAAGTGTCAAATCGAAAAAGATGTCAAACGCACAGATCGCACATTAGAGTTTTTTGCCGGTGAAGATAATCCCAATTTAATGCTACTTCAAGGCATACTTATGACTTATGTCATGTATAATTTTGACTTGGGTTATGTACAAGGCATGTCCGATTTGTTGGCACCTATATTGGCAATACAAGTAAGTAAAGTTATTTGTTGACTACAACATTGGTATATTATAAATTATTTTAAAACTTTTAGGAGAATGAAGTTGATGCATTTTGGTGTTTTGTCGGTTTTATGGACATGGTATTTGCTAATTTTGATATCGATCAGGCTGGCATGAAAACACAATTCAGTCAATTACGTCGCCTGTTAGAGTTTGCCAATCCGCGCCTTTTCAACTATATGATAACACATGATTCCGATAATATGTATTTCTGTTTCCGTTGGTTGTTGGTTTGGTATAAACGTGAGTTTAGCAACGATGATGTGCTTAAACTTTGGGAGTGCCTATGGACACGTTTACCATGTCCGAATTTCCATATATTGGTCTCCGTTGCAATACTTGATCAGGAAACAGATATTATAATTGAAAATAATTACGAATTTACAGAAATACTGAAACATGTCAACGAATTGTCTGGCAACATTGACGTTAAGCGCACATTAGAAAACGCTGAAGCGATTTACTTGCAAATTAAATCTGCTGATTATTTGCCAAATGATATACGCCAAATTATTAATGAGCCTTTATTGGAACCGTTAAATGGCAATGATGGACTATCGACTGATGAACAGGAAGACTTTGAGGATGCCTTTGATGAGTTGGTACACGAATTGTCGGACGAAGAGAAACGTCGTCAGCAAGAATTGCTTGAGGAAGCATGTGAGCGATCTATGTTTTTACAATTTATGTAACTTTTATTGTCTGAATATAACTGCAGCTATAAGAATAATCACAAAAACAGCACCAATAAGTCACACAAAAATCTTACAATTCACACAAATACACCAATTTAGTTTAATGTTAATATTATTATAATTTTTTTAATTTTTTAAATTTTATTTTTTATTTTACAGATGAGAAAAACGAAATTTTTGCGATTTAATAAGTAATAGTGAAATATTAAATACAAACTAATACATTTTAATTTCTTATAAAAATATCCTATTATTTAAATTTATATTTATACACATTGTTACTCTAATTTATTAAATAAGTCTCCAGTTATAAAATGTAATGTTAACAATAAAAATGTACGCTTTGTGAAATATTAAAACCTCAAGTTTTAAATACAAGATTTAAAAAAGAATTATAATATAAATAAAAAAAACGTATTATTTCTATCATTTTAATATTTTTAATTGTTTTATGTTTTTCAAATTTTAAATTTAAAAATGTTATTTTGTATAAAGTTGTGAGTCTGCATATGTCATAATTCCCTAAAGATCAATTTTGATTTTTTTTTTATATAAAATCAAATTATAATTATAGTAATATTGTATAATGGAAGTAATAAATTCATAAGCCATTTAAGTCAACGATTGATGGCATCTTGTGCTCTTAGCAAATGTAAAATAAACAAATTTAATGTAAAACTAACTATATGTATAATATAATTTCATAAATAAAGAGTTTTTTCTTTATATATGATAAATAATTATTTTTTGTTGTAATTTAATTAAAAATAAAAAAGAGATATCCTCTATTGGAAAATATGTATATTTTTTTTAATTATAAAAAATTTGGTTTTCATTTTATAAAATAAAATCATTTCTAAATTAAATTATATAATTTTTCTTATGGAAAAAATATTATTATTTTCTACTTATTTTAAACTGTATTGTTTTAAACAAATGCTGAAAAATTATATGCGAAAAAACTAAATTATAATAAAAGCAATAAAATTGTATAAACTTTATTTTGTTAGTGATTAAATTATACAAAAATAATTTATAATAATTTAAATGCTTTAAGGAACATAAATTATTATATAAGCGATTTTAGATATTAAATAATATATAATTATTTTAAAATATACGTACAAAAATATACAAAATAAAATTTAAAAAAGAAAACAATTTTTTATTTAATTTAATTGACAATTAAATATATTTATAGGCAGGGAGAAATCACATGTCATGAATTTCTCTTCCTAAAAACAAAATGGCTAAAAAACAAAATAGTATTATTTCATTTCAAAATATTACTTCAATAAAAAAATCATTCATGGCTCTCTTTTCACTTTGAGATATTATTATTTTTCTAAAAATGCTAAAATCTTGAATAATTATGTCGTGATATGTATAGTTTTGTAAGATATGTTTTGCATAATGTGTGGGTCCATAGAGCGGCAATTTGTTTAAAGAACCAATTTAAATTGATGACAGATCAATTACATCTAAAACCGTTGAATTATTCTTTATTATAATGTACCCTTCCAAAGCGTTGCAACTCAATATTGCCACGATTCACCACATCGCAGAATTCCATTACAACCTCAATTTCTCTCAAGGGCGTAAAGCTTGTATAGCATTTTAAGCTCCTACCTACCTGTTGTGAACGGAGACTCTCCCCTCATTGACTTCTAAACACTCAAGCTTTGTGTTATAAATATTTATGGGACATTAAACAATTTAAACTGATATACGTATTTTACATAGTAAAAAAATAAAAAAAAATATAAGAATAACTGTTAAGTGATCCCGCTATCTGACCCATTACTAACGAGAAGAAAGCCGTTAGCACAAACATATTGCTCCTAAACATATATCCGATAGATGTTTTTATGAAAAGTATATCTGATAACAATATCGTAATGCATCCCTTATATACTCTAAGTGCAAGAGTTTATTTACTTGACAAAATATTAACTGATAACAGTTTTAGAAAAATATATATATAGGTTGATAGGCATAATAAAAATATAAAGCATAGACTTTGGCCAAGGTCGTAGCATTGCAGATGAGTAGGAAACTACTCATGTGTCAGTGTCCATTTTTAATTATTAGAAAACCCAAAATCTTTGAATCTATTCGTAGTAGTATTATTAGCTTTATTTTTACTTCATTTTAAATTTGTTGTATTACATAAAAATTAAAAACAATTATATTATATATATAAAGCTTACAGCTATGGCATTTTAGCCATCTGCCGGAAGTTTAAATTAATCTAATAACTAGTTTTTATAAATATTAAATAAATATTATTACTTATAAACTCAATACAATATAAATATTAAATTAAATTATTATACCATAATAATATAATAGATTTCAAATAAATTAATTTTAAAATCTTCGTTAATAATATTTTGCCTATATTTTAATACATCTTTAATAAAAACCGCTAACAATCTCCAGTTGGGGTCATTCAGTATCAGTATGGTTTCATTAACATCGAGCTCAGGTTTACCGAAGTACAGCAATTCAATTTAAGGTTGCATATCGTACACAGTGTGTCTTGACTTTCGTACGGTACATAACGCAATCGTAGGAACTCGCCTCGGGTTTTGAAAATTGTCCTTATTGTTTCTACGTCGTATTGCTCGTGAAAGTAATTATTGACACCCAGATCATAATTCAGCTTACTATATGCATATCTTTGAATCTATTTTCTATCTAACTATATAGACCTGTCATATTTTAAAATTAGTAACATATTTTATAAACTTGGCAGATTGCGTTCCTTCTATTTAAATGAAAGAGTCGCGCATTCTCAAATAGTTGTTGTTTTTACACTAGTTGCTTTAACCTTAAATATTGTTCTGCAGATCCGTGGGACGGACAGTGGTTCATCTGTGGTATCACAATACAGTATTTACGCTTGAATGAGCTTGAGTGCAACAAGACTGTAACTCCAACCTAACCTAACAGTTTGAAACTGGTTTTGATATTCGTTGATAAAATAAATTGCAATAACAAAATGCAAATATATAAAATCAAATGGTACCTAAACGCCTTTCTGGCTTAGATCAATCTAGCTCGCTGGGTACTAAGTCTATTTTTTTCTCTCTTCCCTGATTACTGGAATGAAGAAAGTTTTTTACAAGAAAATAGTTTCTTTTGAGGTTAAAATCAAATCCAATATTAAAAATTATTATAATAAAAACACATAACATTTCATTTTCGTAATTTTTTATATTTCAATATCATTTATTGATGCAATGTGTGTAATGTAATTTTGCCGTAGCAGATCTTTCCATTTAATTTAATATTATTAAGAATTTATATATTATATTGTTAAAACATAATAATAATTAAATTGTAAATTTAATTTTTATTTGTAGTTGTTTTTTTCGTATTTACTTAAAATTTAATAATAATAATAAAGTAGTTGATTTTTTTTTTGAATTTTTTTTGTTTTTTTTTTGTTTAATTACAATTACATAAACGTTTTATTTTAAAATATTTTATTTATTTAATTTTATATAATTAATTATAATTAGAATAATAATAATTAATATATAATAATTACGATATATAATTTATTTCAATATTAATATTTTTATAGTTCTGGGGGAGCGTTTAAATTTATTTATTTTGCTTTTGAGTCGAACAAACGAACGAACGTTTTTTTTTTTAATTTCTTTTGTTTTGCTGCTTTTTAGCTTTTAGCTAGCTTTTTTTACTACATTCAATATTTTAATTATTTTTATTTATTTTTTTTCAGATTTTATATCATATTAATATATAATTTGAGTCTTTTACTTAAAAAAATCGTCATTGATACTATAGATATAGTTCAATAAACAATTTTTTAAGGTGTATTAGTATTGGAGGGCTACACGCTAACTAAACCACAACGTTTATTCCTCTTCCGTTTCTTTCATATATATTCTCAATTATTATATTTACGCTATTAAATTCATTTGTTTTATTTTTTTTTATTTTTCTTTTTTAAGTCAATTTTTATTTTTTTGTTATATGAATTAGTGCTTTTATTTTTATTGCGACTTTTTGACGTTGTGTTTTGTTATTAGAAATATAAAATTTACAAATACAATTTATTCAATTTATTTTTAATGTTTAGTTTATAAAATCAAATTTTTTAAAAAATATAAATTAAAATGCAAATTTCATTGCAAACAATTACAAATAGTTTTTAAATAACATGTATGTAAAATTAATTTAAATGACATTAAAAACATAAAATAAAACATTTAATTTTGCTTCACATAAAACTTTCTAAAAAGAATATTGAAATTAAAAAAACTATATTTTATATGTATAAAATAATTCTAAAAAAATTTAAACTATATACAAATAACATCGAACATTTACTAAAACCATTATCATTTATATTGAGTAATTTTATTATAAAAAATTTGCCTCAGTGAAATTTATAGTATAGTTGTTAAGAAGGTTGCTTGAAGAGACACATTGGCTGGTAGTTCTTTGAGAACCAAGAAGATTAAGAAGGTTACTTGAAGAGTCACATTGGTTGGAAGTTCTTTCAGAACTAAGAAAGGTGAGAAGGTTGCTTGAAGAGACACATTGGCAGAGAATGAGACACATAATTTATTTTAGCACTTTTAAAAAATATTGTATTTCATACTTAATACAAAGTACCATGTATTTGAAAAGCTTGTTTAAATATACAACTTGATTTTTTTTATAATATTTAAGACTCTAAGGTTTCTAAAATATTTAGGAATCCTGGAGGATTAATTTTTAATTGAATTTAGTAGATTTAAAATTTTTTACATCAACTGTATTTGGCAGCTATTATTTAAGAAAAATAATTAGAAAGATATTAATGCATTTATTAGTTTCAATCGTAAAATTTGACGAAACTGTGCAGAAAGTGTTACAAAAATCAAGTTCACCAGGAAAATATTGTAGTGTTTCCGGGCACTAGAAGGTTGAGCATATTCAATACTAAGTATCGATAGATTAAAAAGTTAATTCTACATATACAATGGATCGAAATGGATTATTCATTGCTTCTTAGTTTCTGCTTTAAGTTTATGATTCCTTCTGTATAAAAATAGGGATATCCAGACATAGTTCGGTGTGACTCAGTAATATATAGTGATAAAACGACAATATAGTCTGAAAAGAAACTATGAAACTTCATCACTTCACCGAGTATGTCTGAATATTCTAATATATCCGCAAATTATTGCAATGTACTAACTATAAAAACAATTATTTAGAATTTTTTGGACAATTTCGTTACAATTAGTGAAAGTACAAGAAAAAAAAACTTTAAATTGTTTTGTATTATTTATATAAAATTATTAACTTATAATGAATTAAAAATAAACATGCTTAACTTTTTTATATATATTATAACAACACTGAGACATGGAGTATAAAATCTGCACACTTACGGTACATTAAGCATTTATTTAAACATTACGTTCATTTTCGATAAATTTTTAACTTTTTATTTTAAATTTTTAGAAATTTCAACTTAAATTTTTAAATTTATAGTTTATAATTATCAATATCGACTTTTTAAATTTTTTTTATATTTATTTGATGCATATGAAATTACAATTTTTTTTTACTTTAAATTGATCATTTAAAAAATATTAATTAAGAAAATATACCCTATTTCAAATTATTTTAATTTTGTTTTATTTAAATTTATTTTTTGTATATAATTATTTATGCTTAATTTAATAAGCGCGTTGCTTTTAGTTTATATGCATTTAAGTGATTTATGTTCCTGAAAAAAACACATAACGTAGATGTCTAGTATTTCTTTTTTTTTTTTGTTTGAAACACAAATTTGTTATAAATAATTTGTGCTTAAATAATATAAAAGTATTCATAAAGTTAAGAATATATTAAAAGAAAGAAATAAAAATATAAATCGTTAAAAAAAATTGTAATTCACATGTATATTAGTTATATGTAAAGGTTGTATATATAAAATAAAAAATTTTATTAAAAATTATTAATATAATTTATATATTATTTTATAAGCGCATTTTATGTTTTATGTTTACTTTAGATTTTTAATAAAAATTATATTAAATTATTTCTTCTTTGTGAAAGTTTCTTTTTTGTTTTTTGTAATTTTTCAGTTTACTTTTTTTTTTTTTTAAATTACAAGAAATAAAATTATTCTTATGGAAACGATTAATTTTTATTTGTTTGAAAATAATTATAAATGTTTTTTTTTATTATTACTTTTGCGTACACATCACAGCAGCAGTATATTTAAAATGTGGACGAATAACAAAGAAAAAAAACATTTATTAAATTTTCACAATGTTTATATTTTATAATTATTTTGTAAGTAATAAATAAACTCATATATATTTACTTTTTTACACATTATAATAGTAAAAATTTGTTTACAAAGAGCAGTTCCGATAACACTAAATCATGGTAATTTAATATTTAAATTAATTGATTAATGTAATTATTTGTTTTCTTTACTTTTTATTTTTAGTTGAATGCAGAAAATCAATACAAGACGTTGCCACAAAATTTATATACACATAAATATCCATATAAATGAATAATTTAGAGTTAAGCATTTATAGTATGAGACATGCAATAAATTAGCAAGAAAGATTTGCCTCGTCTTACTTTAAAATGGAGCCATTGATGAGTAGCAGCAGCATACCACTCAGGTATATGGCGAAAAGGTTTGTGCATTTGTTTATTTTGATATCGTAGCGTTTCTCCAAATTGAAATAATTATTTATTTTGCAGCAGACGTTAAATAATTTGCATTTTATCATTCTCTTACTTTTTAATAATTTTTTCAAAATATAACCCCCAAATATATGAAAGTTGCAACAACTGCAGCAAAATATTGTATGCAACTATAAAATGGGAGCATTTTCTCTAATCAGACTTTTTAGAAGTTTTCAGCTTGCAGCAGCAGCAATGAACTTAGCATTCTATATAGTCCTAGTGGTTCTCTATATATATATACATATTTTTTATGTAGTTAAAAAATTTACAATACTTCAACTACCATTCTCAACATGCTCTTTATGCATTTATGCAAATTTGCAATAATTTTGCAAAAAAAAATTTCAATTTCACAATGGATTTTGGATTTCAATTTGTCACATGCCATGTGGCATTAATGCAGACTTTGATTTTACTTATATTATTACGCATTATTCAATTATTTCTAAGTATGTATTTCCTATATTTTAAATATGTTAAACCTAATCTACGTTTACATTTAATTCTATATAAACTGTATCTTTTTACAATGTTCTTATATCAAAGTAGTTTATACTTGTCTACTTAGTTTTTCAGTTAAGTTAACTGTTATGTTAATTTTTATATATTCTCGTTTGGCTATTTAATAATTCCCCTTACATGCATTCACTCAATTTTTATTATAAACTATTGAAAAATGCATAGATTCGTATAAATTAATGTATAAGCTAGTTTTATTTACTTAGTGTACGCGTAGTTCTCCGCAGTACTCATTCATTTTTATCTTCCGCTTCACTACTCGTTGACAAATTGAGTGTTACATCTGAATTGCCACCGGATTGCCGTGTGTGTCGTGTGGAGCGTAGTTCTCTTCGTTTTTCTGGAGGTTGTTCACTTATCGCATGTTCTGCACCCGAGCGAGGACGTTTAAGTCGGCTGGAAGAGCGACGATTTTCTTCCGCAGCAGCAGCTGCAGCCACTGCCGCAGCAACGGCAGCAGGGCTTGACGTCGCGTTGCTAACAACAGCCGCAGCAGCAGCTGCAGCGCTATTAGCGGCATTAGCAGCAGCTTCTAAATCTTCCACACTACCGCCGTGGCTACTACCGGCAGTATTATTAGCAGGTGGTGTTTGTTGTGGTTTCTTCAATATTGGTTGTATGATTAACTCGTCTGCTTCTTCATAAGGTGGTGGCAGTTTTGCTACATCAGCAGCATTTGTTATAGTTAATGAAATACGTGATTCGCTACGTTCGGAACGTTCACTGCTGGAGCTAGCACCAGAACTAATTGGTGGTGCAATTGTTATCGTTGTTTGTGATGGTAAATTTGCAGTTATACCAGCAGAGTTAAGTGGTGTAAGTGTTACTTTATCGGCTTCACTTAAACCTGTAGCGCTTCCACTACGTAAGCTTTTTTCTATGCTTGTCATACCACCACCTAAATTAAGTGGTAATCCAGCTACTAATGCAGCGGCGGCTAATTCATCTTTTGCACTAGCTTGCGATGAATGAGAATCGGCACGTGAACGTTTTGATTTGTGATGATCATCTAGTGCTGTTGAAATTGAACTGCTAGCGGACGATGTTGGTATAAGCGATATACCTGAACCTAAACCAAGCGTTTTTGTATAATAATCCATTTGTTGCTTAAAAGCGTCTTTAGCTGCAGCGTCTTGTTCTCGTTGTCGTTTAGAAGCGCTTGAACTACTACCACTACTCGAAGCAACCGAAGTGCTGGAAAGTGGTGCAGTTAGTCCGGCTAAACTATTTGTCAGACTGGCTATTGAAACCGGACCAGTTAATGGCAATGTTCCGCCAGCAGCAGCTGCAGCAACCGCTTGAGCTGCCATTTCAGCCAGGAAAGCTTGACTTATATCACCGGGCATACCAGGTATTTGCGGTAGTTGTGCAACTGCAGCAGCTGCGGCTGCTTTAGCTGCATTTTTACTTGATGAAGATGATGTTGATGCAGATTGACTACTACTGGCACCGCCCGTTAATGATGATGGTAGTTTACCTTGTGATAATGCTTGTAATGTAGCTAAATCTGATGGTAGGGCGCCACGTGCTAAGGTCTCCATCCATTTTTGTTGCTCTTTAGCGGCTTGTTTTTCTTGAGCAGCTTGGGCCGCTGCTGCTGCAGCGGCTGCTGATGCAATTGAATTACTTGAAGAACGTTTGTCATTAGCGCTGGATGAAGTTGACGCACTTGATACTGGGGTAGGACCCATTGAGTTGATTAGACGAGTAGCTTGTGCTAAATCCATGCCACCCATACGTACAAGTGATTCTACCAAAAGTTGATCAGGACCAGTCATTAGTAGATTTGATAGTTGTGCCATTTCAGCAGAAGCCTGTGCAGCAGCTCGACTTGCAGCTGATTGTCGACTGCCACGAGAACTTGATTGTGAAGTAGATGCTGATGGTTGTGTATTTTGCACATTACTCATACTAGCCATTGCATTCATCAAATTTGCTGCGGCAGATGATGTCGCAGAGGATGAACGAGAATTGCTTGACTTTGATTGCGACTGATGTGACTTAGATTGTGTAGTAGATGATGTACCTGTCGACGAAGTTGCACCACCATTTAATAGATATTGTTGCGCTAATTGATCGTAAGCTGATCCAAGACCACTTGACCCAAGTGAATATGGATTTAAGCCACCTAAACCCATTGGTGGATATAAAAGTGATGGATTGGGAAACAAGAAAGGAAAACCAGCAGCCAATTGTGATGCTGATGCTGCAGCCGCATTTTTACTAGAACTGCCTGAACCACTGGCACTATTATTCGAACCACTAACATTATTGCCCATTGCAGAATTTGTTGCACTTTGCTGCGATACATCACTTTTATTTTTCTTGCTTGAGGAACTACTAGATTGTGCAGTAGCTTTGCTACCACTGCTGCTGCCACCAGCACCAGTAGTACCGCCTAAGCCACTTAATGCAGGACCAGCTGCAGCCATTAATGCCGCTAATGATTGAGCATCCATGCTAGCTAAATTTCCTAGTCCACCCATACCAGCCAAACTAGCGAACAGATTCATATTATTGAGATTTCCTAGACCTGGTATATTTCCCATGCCAGGCATACCAGCAAATGGCATTGACAATAATGGATTTTTCGGATCAAATGCAGCGAGAGGATTTTTAGGATCAAATGCGCCCAATCCTGGTAAACTTGCCAAAAGATTTGGATTAAGTCCAGCTAGCGAGCCAAACTGCATAGCAGAGTTTGCTTGATCTATAGCGGATTGACGAGAAGATTTCTTTGATGAGTTAGACGATGAAGATGACTGCGAAGAGTTCTGTTGTTGTTGCGAATGGCTACTTGAGGAAGTATTGCTCGAAGTGGAAGAAGGTCGACCGCCATGTGATTTACTGGATGTTGTATAGCTGCTATCCATTGCACTCGCTTTAGGAGATGGAGCAGACATTGGATTTTGCATTTGTTCTAACCATTTGGGATCAACTTCATAGGTGGGATTATCAGTTAACCTAAAAAAATTATAATGAAATTTAATGATTTATTGTTTTTCAAGCAGCAGTTATAACCTAATATTTTACTTACCATGGCATTAAACGCTTTAATTGTGGTGCTTTGTTGCCAGTGAGTCGCTTTCCTGTTTGTTTATTTATTACCGGCACTGGTTCTTCGCCTGTAAGGCCTTGTGGGCCAGCCATTGATTGTTGTTGTTGCTGATGTTGGCTGTGTAATTGACCAGATTGTGAAGATACTTTTGACATTTGTGATGTAGTTGGCTGTTGTGAAGACGAGCTGCTACTTTGTTGACGATTAGAACGACGGCTGGAACTACTACTGCTATTGGCAGCACCATAATCCATGCTAAGTTGTTCATTTAAAGGAGAACTCATATCCGACAGCCATTTATTAACTTTGACATCATGAGAATTATATTTTGTGCTAAGAAAAAAAATACATTTTATTATATTAAAATTTTATGATATAAAGTTTAATTTCGTACCTCATCTTCATAGCCTGTTCCATTTCAGCTAACATACTCTCGTATGCCTTGCGCTGTGCTGGAGGTAAGCATTGCATCAATTTTTGCTGTTGCTTCAGGAATGTTTGTGGATCAGTGGCCATCGTTTGTGCTAACAAAGCGTTAAGACTATCTTTCGACGAGAGACCACCCATGGCCATATTTTGTAATGCAGATATGCCACTATTAGATGTTGAGGACGCTGATGACGAAGATGGCATTGATGCACTATTTTTGGATTCTATATAAATAGAGATAAATATGTAAAAATTAATATTTTAATAGTTTAAAAAAAAATTAATATTAAAAATTTTAAACTCAGAGACTCAAACTCACTTCCGGGCACTGTCGTAACAGTGATTGTAAATGGTTTTTGGTTTTGTTGATTTTGATTTGATATTGATGTAGACGGAATAGCTGGTGTAACTGAAACGCTTGGAGGTATTTGTGGTTTCTTTGAAGACGGTAATGATGGATCAGGGAACGTTTTTTGTTCTTTAGCTGCAGATAGACCCAAAACGATTTCATCAAGTTTCTTTCGTTTCTTTTCCTTGCCTACGACAGGTTCTTCAATAGTCTACATATATATAAAGAAGAGTTTATTGAATTTGAAACTTATATAAACTTGTGAAAAGTTAATACTACTATGCACACATATGTGATATATACTTACGCAATTATTTTTCTTCATTAATTTGCTTAATGTGTCGTCAAGCTTGCTCTTGTTACAAGCTGCCGCACTCATGGAGGGGAAGGCTGAACTTAGAGCTGCATGTATACTCGATGTTGAAGATTTTTTACTCATCGAGAAGTCTTGTACCTCACTTAAATCGATAGCACCGGCACTAGAAGCCGATTTGAGCATATCAGCCATATTCATTTTTGGTAAACTATATTTAGAAAAAAAAAAAAAACAAATAATGTTTATTTATTATAGACTGCAAACTGCTTTGCTTTTAATAATAAAATCATTGTAATATTTTTTTCAAATTTTAGGTAATTAATTTAATCCAAGATTATGTCTTATTTTTGAAGTAATTTATTATTCAATTCTTTTTCTTTTTTTTGATTTGATTTAGCAAATTACTATTGTTTGGTTTTTTTTCTCACCTTGATGACAAGTCCATTGGAGCACTAATTGACGGTGGCGGTGTCTTTAGTGGTGGTACAGCGGGTTTATTGAATTGTCCGGAGGATTGACGTGATAATGAGGCATGTTGATGAGCTGGTGGTGGTTGTAATACACTTAAACTGGAAGAAGCAGCGGGTGACGAAGCAGAAGTGCTACGTCGTCCTGAGTTTGTTGTACTAGCTGCGGCGGCTGCTACAGCTGCCGCTGACATTGCTTCCATATTAGCTATTTCTGTTTCCCAGTCTTTACTTCCCACTGAAGGCGAAAAGAAACATTAATGTTAATTTAAACGAACTCGACTAAATAATATTAATAATATTATGAATGTAATACTTACTTCCTTGCGAACTATTAAGAAGTGCGTGCAGTTTTGCGCGTTCTGTTTCAACGTCAATAGCAATATGTCTTTTTCGTTTCTTACTGGTATTTCCTGTTACATTAGCGGTGCTAGTATTAGCAGATGAACTGCCAGGTAAACCTGGTGTTGTTGATGTCATTGACATACCAGGTAACAGACTTGACAAGGAATTGGAACTACCGCCAGAGGCTGCGGCTACTGCTGCAGCCACAGCTGCATTGATACTGGCATCTAAATTAGAAACAGATGTTTTGGTGCTATTTGCAGCAGTTGCGGCACCTGCAACTTGTTGCATTTGAGATGCTTGCAAATGTTTAGTTAAACCTTGATCTGTCGTTATTGTTATGACATCGGGGGTTGTTGAACGGCGTTCGATTGTATTTAAATGTGGTATAGCTTCATGCAATCCAATATTTAAATCTATTCCTTTACAACCCGAGAATGCTGAATAGGTTTTATCTACTGGCCATTTGTTGGTTTCAACGCAAGTGACAATGTGTGCAATGCGACGTTCAAGTGCAAAATCCTTAAACCAACGTATCATACACATTTCCAATTTTGGTTTTTCGTATTTTTGTTTGACAGCTGCAGGTTGTATAACTTCTAAATCAGGAAAACGCGCTTTAAGCTCAGCAGCTTGCTTCTTGCATTCTTCTTCAACCGCCTTGGTAACTGCAGCGACGTCCACAACTTCTTCGGGTTTTGATCTATTTTCTAAAATGGCTATATTTTCTTTCTTAATTTCTATTTCTTTAGTTGTACTTTCATCACGTTTTGGTGGTGTTGATGCGTCCTTGATTTGCACTTCTGCAGATTTGTCTGTAGAAGTTTGTGTTTCATTTGCATCATCAACTGTTTTGTCTGATTTCTTATCAATCAACGTCGATTCACTCGCAGCAGATTTTTCTTCTACTAATTTTGTGTCTTCCACAGAATCTACGGTAGGTTTTTCAGTAGATAATTCAGCCTTATCAGAGTCTATTTGGTTTTTAATTTCTTCAGATTCAGTTCCAGCAACCTTTTCAGTTTCTGTGTTTGTGGTGTCTTTCATTTCAACATCATTTACTGCAGTTGCAGCAACATTTTTGTCTATTTTTTCACTACTGGCAGCTGGTGCTTCTTCTGTATCCATTTTTTCAATTTGTGTAGCAGTTAATTCTGGTTTCTCAGTTACTTTATCGATTGTATCTTCGTTTGCTTTATCCTCTACTCCTGACTTGGTAGGAGTAGTTTCTGTTATTGTTTCCTCTGTACTTTCAGTTGACGTTTTTTTCGTAGTTACTGAGACATCTTTGGACTGTTCAACGGTTGTATCTTCAGCAACTTTCGTAATTATTACGGCATCATCTATGCTTTCTTTTTCAGCAAGATCAGACTTATTCTTTTCAACTATAGGTGCATCATCAACAATTTCGGAACTAGTATCTTTTATTGTTGCATCTGTAGTTTGTTCAGCTTTTGGTTCATTTTTGACTGGTGAGAATTGTTCTTTTTTAATAAGACTGTCTTTGGTCAACAGTTCATCATCTAAATCAATAACTTCATTTTTCACAGGTGCAGCATTTACAGTGGTAGACGCAGCTAGGGCTTGAGCATTTTCAGCTGTAAATGCTTCAAGTTTTATTGTACGCTGTATTTGCGCTTCCAATTCTCGTATAAAACGTTTCTCAGACTCTGCAAAACTGAAATTTGGATCGTTAAATATAAAAGTCTCTGAACGATACAAGCCATGTTTCAGTACGGCAGCAATAAGCTCTTTATCATGTCGTCCAGCCTCCCACCAATCAGGTGTATCAGCATTCATAATGCACAATTTTAGACGTTCTTCCAATTGCGGGTGTCGTGCAACTTCACGTAATTTCGACAAAAGTTCCAGGCGATCTAATATTAACTTAGCATGATCTTCTGTAATATCTTCAATAATTCCTTCAAGGCCACGTTCACTGTCATGCAATTTGACACCAGCCTGTCGCTTACACATTGCTATGAATACTTTATAGTAATCGCTAAGAGTTTCGTCGCTCTTGCGTTCTAAATGCGCCATTTGTTTGAATTTTATCCAATCTGGTGCTAGGGATGTACCCATCGATGTAGGTGGCTGCAGATCAACGCCATAACCAGTTAATACACGCAAAAATTCATATTCTTCGCGCCGATTCCATTTTTTCGGAATACTTTGTAGTCGTTGACTTTCACGTTCCTTAGCGGCCAACTCCATTTTTCCTTGCCGCTCCATCTTCTGTAATATTTAGGAAAATATTTCTTTTTAGGCATTTGTAACAAAAAGTAGTAAAATATGTGTTTATGTGTTTGTATTTGAGTGGGAGTGTAAATGAAGTGTATGCATAGGTTTAAGCAATTGTAATAGAATATGTAAGGGATTTAGTACAGCATATATAGCAAAACTAATTTACTGCTCATAACCAGAGCAGTACACAATGTATTAGATTAAAACTTTTTAAAATTTTATTTAAAATTATTTGAGTTTAATATTTTTATGATGACCCTTGGTTATAAAGCATGTAATATAGTTTAGCCTTTAAAAGTTAGAAGCAGTAAAAAAGTAAATGTGAACTACTTTTTACAGTAGTTATAGTTATATTTACTACTACCAACCGTACGTTGGTTTTAATGTCTGATAAATGGTTTTAATTGATATAATGAACTAAATTAAATGATATGTATGTTAGATGATTATTGATTAAATAATGCAAACTAGTTTTTTTATATATTTAATGAATAACAAAATGTTAATGAGCAGAACAAAAAGATAAAAGCAAATATTAGTAATGATGAGAAAATAATTAATTTTATAACACAAAAATAATAAAGTTTAGAATATTTAAGAATGATATTTTTTTTAAATTTTACTTACAGTCAAATTAGTACCCCAAGTAACCTCTAACATTATAAGTAAATTAACTAAATACATTATTATAATTATTATTTAAATAATAATCTTAAGAATTACCAAAAGAGTATAATATTTACTTGAAATTATTAGCTTATAAGGCAGATACTATTGTAGATTGATATAGATAATATATAGATCTATAATGTATGTGAACTATAAAGCGAGACGGCAATATATGCAAATGAGTATTACGAATTAGTAATTAATAAAAAAAAATTATTAAAAAATATAAAAAAATTAAAGAACGAACTTTATTTACTTAAGTAATTAAACTGTACATTGATAATGTCACACGATATATAACTTTCCCCACAAATTTTAAACCATATCATTTGAGAAGAAACCTCCTCTTCACTCCATTTGTGTAAGCATTCTATGTTCAAGTTAGAACATATCTCTACAGTGTAGTAAGCAGTTTATGAGTGCACTTACATTTAAAAAGAAATAGGTGATATCATGAGGATTAACCCCTATTGGAAACAGATGTAACTTTAATTATTGATCATTTTTCGCTTTTTTATGGAACGGGTAGCCTGGATTGTGTCAAAGGGGGGATATATTTTAAATTATACCGTTACTTCACTAAATTATATATAACAAGAGTGAATAACAGTTTTACTTATATACCATATGAACATAAATATGAATACTTTACAGTATGATATAGTCTACTATTAATTGATTAAGTACTATATTCTAATTGTAGACAACTGATTGACTTCATTATTGCAATAATAATAAAATAATATCACAGCAAAAGCATACAAGCTTGTAGAAGGTATGAGATGTGAATAAATTATATAACATAAAAAGAGATCTTGAGCTATTCGAAATATATATGAGTATCAAAAAGTAACGAGCATTTTGATATTGCATGCGCTGTATTTTATTTATCGACATACGTTTTTTTTTTACGTGTATTGGTTGCACTGCCAATAATATGTTATTTCTTTTCGATTTTGGCAAATCTAGATTTTGTGACCTTATCAAACATGTTAAAAGTAATCCCAATATGCTAAATAAATTTCAGCTGTCAAATAACACAAAACAGCTGTTAATTTTATTATAATGATTAATAAAATCAGGCAAAATAGCTAGAATGTTATAAATTTATCTTGAGTGTTTTACATTTTGTCCAAGACTCACGGATGAAAAAGTTGTTCTAGATTGTCCAGGTTTCACAACGTATTTTATTGTTAAGATACTTTTCTACTTTACCGAAATTCACTGCAACTATCAGTTAGCTCTGATGTTGTGTTTGTGGAGGATAAAACAAAATTCATTTCATTTCATGAAGCAAAATGGTAAAGATAAAAACATGTTGCAACCACGAGTTTTTAAATAGTACCAGAATGCTTTCAGGAAGAACGTTAATGCATTGAAGATGTCCCAAAGCCTGAACATTCTAACAACTCTATCAATGATGAAAACTTAACTAAAGTTAAAGCTTTTATTCTTGTAAGTAGAAGCATTATCCTTAAAGAGGATTGTCGTCATATGGATCATGCAGAATGATGATATGCACTAATGTTTTGGACATATTTCAAAATTTTGTTGTTTATAACAGATTTTGGGGAGTATGTAGTATGTAATATATTGAAAATAAATCATTGAAAAAATCCATGATATCGAATATAAAATTGTTCAAAATAATTTAGGGGGAATTAGAACAAACACTAGGGAAAATAATATAATAAGCATATTATTATTATTAATTATATATTAATAAGCTACCATTTTCAAAAGCTTTATTCACAAGAACATTTCTCGAAAACAAAAAAATTAACTATTCTATAAGTTCGTTTTCTATAGCTATTTTTAAAAGTTGACAAGTTAAATACTTTTTGATATTAAAAATATATATTCGTTAAGCTTTTTAATAAGAAAGATATTTAGTTTATAGGAACACATCTGTTCTATTTTTAAACGAATAATATATTTTAATTAGTTTAATAAACTTTATGAAATACATACATGCCCTAAATTAATATAATATTGAGATACGATTCTTGTTAAAATATACGACAAAGCATAGAAGTTAATTAAAATGTAATACTTCCTCTCCCATATTCAGTACAAGCGATTTTTGCAAATATCGTACCAAATGCCAAGGTTAACAACAAACCGCAGAAAAACTAATGAGAGTGCCATGTACTGACTACATGACGTCGAAATATTTAAATTAATAATACTTTTTAGAGGCATATACGTACGTATATAGGTAATATCTTTCATATATGCATAAAATTTTAAATTAAGTATTATTAATTTTCGAAGAATGTCTTTACTTCACTGCACGTACCAAGAGTCGACGAAATATATGGATGTGTGGATGCAAGCACAATGTTTCTTCTTTATGAATATTTGTGATATAATTTAGTAAATTTTAATAATAAAAATAAGTTTTTATCAGTAGAATAAAATTGTACGCATGAAAGAGTTCAGTTCTGAGATGTTTTTACAAAATGCATGTCGAACTAATTAAAGTAGAATAATACACATAATTGATAAATGCAATGAAACAAATAAATCAATAAAAAATACTATAATACAATGCATAACGAAACACATGTGTTGCCTAGGGTTCTGCTTTAAGAACAAATGTTCATATAATTGATTAAAAACATAAACAATATAGCTATTGAAGAAAAGTACGAGTGTACGATAGTAGTATAGTAAAAACACTTTTGAGTGGGCACTTAACACCAGCCAACTACTGTTTGAGCCAATGAATGATCCAAAAAATTTGAGTGTACAAAAATTGGACGCCTAATAATTTCATATAATTTAATTAAACAAAATATTAAATAAACAATTTCTTTTTATGAATAACCTTTTCAAAAATCTAAAAAAAGAAAACATATAAAAAGATTAAAAAAACATGGAAAAAATAATAGATTAAAAACAAACCATAAGCCGATAAGTAAATAGAATAGAATAGCACACAAATGACTAAATACAATAGCATGAAGCGAGACTTTGAGTATATGAGCCAAACATTTCGTGTTTCGATATATAAAATGTATGGACCTGTAGTCCGACTTATAGATCCTTTGTATTTAATGAGTCACTAACGAATAAGAACATTTTTATTAGTAAGACATGCCTATACATATATTTGCAAATTTTAAATTAGAAATAAAATATGTTGATAAAAATATCTTTATATTGTTCTCTAGTGAAATACAGAAAGAAGTATAAAACTGAATAAAAATATCTCAAAAATGTATTAAAAAAATACTTAGTATCATCGTATACAACTTTTACAGAAACAATAAAGAATTTTTCTGGATTGATCAAGTATACAAATGGCTTAAAATGCTTCAAAAGTTAGCAAGGTCATCCACTCAATACCTGCTGATGGAAACTGCTATAGAGGATATTTGCATTTTTAATAGAAAAATTAGGTAACAAACAACACGTCATTAATCGGTAACACCGAACCCCTGATTAGGTTAGCTAGCAGAGGCTAATGGACGTCACACTGCCAGTTAGTTAGTTATTACCTACTATTAATTCACTAAGTAAACAAATAATAATAATTAACAAACTAAGAAGTAAATAAAAAAAAGTTTCAAAATAACTAATTCTCAATCCATTTTAAAACCGTACATATTACAAAGACATTATAATACTTAGTAAGAACTTCATCACTATGTAGTGTCAATTGACATCCACTTGTTGATATATAATCTTAACCCTATTATATTCCAAAAATTTCAAGAGCAATGAAACCCTTTTATGGTATTTATTTTATTGTTGCAATTTCTAAGTTTTAACAAATATTACTCACACTTTTTTCCAAGAGTTATTAAATTTTTTTTAAGATATCAAAAGTATAAATGATTTATAGCGTCAAGACAAATTATTTATTGGTCATTAAGTAGTAATATTTGAATAGATAGGTACATATAGTGTATATAACAAATTTTGTATCAATTATGATAAAGCAATATTAAACTTAGAAGCCCACATAATAAAAACATATTTAATTACTAATAAGCATATATTGTAACTTATATTTTAAGACACACTGCTCATTTTCCAAAACAAAAAAGACGAAAGACGAAAATGAAATATTTTATGGGTCAGTGGTAGAAATACTATCACTTCAACAAGAAATCTTCTTCAAGAATTAACGAACCCAGAGTGAATAAGCTGAAAACTTTACATAACATGGCTCAACAGATTCATTATTATATTCCAAATAAAACTTTACTCATATTAAATGGATTTCAAAGAAGCTATACGACACACAGTACACTGTTTCGGTTGTAGGACATAGAAATTAAACAGAAAAGATTTCATTTCTGTCGAGATTCTAC